GATTTTGTAATTTCCAAATCCATTTGTATTAGTTTTGCAAGAAAAATGAAAGGAGATCAATTTTACATTTGACCTATTTTTTTCTTTTTTGCATCAACTACCATATTTTGAGATCTGTCTTACTCTTATCATGTAGGTTGTAGATTTACTAAAAGATTTGATATAAATAGATTAGACAAATACAAAGCTTTTAAAAAACTAATAAATATAGTTTAAGTACATGAAGAAAGGAAGATATTTAGGTCAATGACAAATATTAAAGTTGTTGACCAAAAAAAAGACAAATATTAAAGTTGTTATTACAAACTATAAAAAAAAATAACTATAAAAAGAGGGAAATTTGTAAACTCGTGTAGGACCCCTACTTAAAAAATCACATCTCCACACATAAAAATAACATACTACGATAAAACATGAACTTAATTACCCATCATATAAAAATTAGTTAAAAAATAAAGTCCTTTAGTTATTGAAAGATCACTTTCATTCATTTGAACAACAATATCTAGTTATTTTATATTGTCACTAGCTACGTACAAAAACTCAAAATCTTTTCTATAGTCATCAACTACAAATACTCAAACTAGTATATACTGAAAACCGACGTATTACTATAATCTTTATCCAGTCAATAATAAAAGTCATATAATGTGAACGCAATCTCTATCTATTTTTGCCAAGACTTAGTCGACAAAAACCAAATTGTAAATGCATATTCATGACTGAAATTCTATCATAATGCTGGGAAAAATGTAATAAAGTTTTGCATGAGTGCTGATTAATTTGTACCTCCATAAAGTCAAGCCACGTTGATTGCGTAAAGGCAGATTTTGATTTTTAATTCGTTTTAGAATTCCCATTTTTTCTCTCAAATTAACATTTTCTAAAAATATATTAGTAGATGATTGTTGTATCATATATTCGAAAATATATTTGAATTAAATCGCTAATCCGAAATTTTAAAATGGGTCCTAACAAGAGCATAAGTCACAAGAATGCTTTCGATATGAACCATATATATTTCTTTTTATAAGAATCGGCATGGTTTTAATTTAAAGTTTTCGTTTCATTCCACATCGAATAGTAAACACATCTATTTTGTTTCATACCTTAGTATCAATATTTGAAACCTAAAAATTTCAAATGTAGGATCGATCATCTTTCCTAAAACATCTGTTAAATTGGATAAGCTCGGATTATGCCAACAAAGAGGAAATAATAGTTTGAGTCGATTTGTGACAACAACAAAAAAAAGAAAAAATAGTTTGAGTCATTGATATACGAATATATTAGTTAAAAGAAAGAAAGAAAAAAACTTTAATTTTGAAAAATAATATTCTTTCCGTTTTTATTTGTTTGATGTTGTAGAATTCTCACATCTACTAAAAAATA